TATATTTCTAATTTGACTTTCTAAAATGGAATAATGATCAAGAATAATGAGTTTTCTGATGAGAAGCACATGAATCAGATTCATATTATTCATATTTTTGGGCATGATGTAAAATTTTTTGCAGTTAACTCTGCTCTGTAAAGTAATAATAATGAAAGTGAAACTATAATAAATTAACAATACAGTTAAATCCTCTCTGTAAAGGGGGATTTAGAATCTTCAATTTACAGTTCAAAAGGCACACAGGACACTGAAAGAGGTAAATTTTGAAGTGCCATAAGAAGAAATAGCTGGAATTCAATGTGGATTAAATGGAGGGGTTTTCGGAAAAAGGGGCAATGTGCGGGTGAAATTCGAAAAGAAAATGGTAAAACTAAAAAGTAACAAATTTGCGTCGCCCAGACCCGAACCGGAGACCTTCAATGTGGTAGACTGACGTGATAACCAACTACACCACGACACCTTACTGATAGAAAATTGCTGTTACAATAATTATTCTAGATATTCACTTATATTTTTGAGATTAAAATGAATAGTTTTTATAGTGGGCTAAACCATATTTTTCTTTGTGTTACTATCATGATATTTGATTTAAATTTTAGACTTGATAAGCTTTTAACATCATATTTTTGTTTGCAAAAACTTCTCCGGTTGAAAAGTATGATTGTCTATAAATCGAGTAACAACAACATTAAAATTGTACTTGAATTCATCGTGTCATGTTGTTCTAATGCGCCTATTGCTGACTATTAATCTACTATAACAACAACATTAGAATTGTACTTGAATTCATCGTGTCATGTTTTTCTAATGCGCCCACTTTGTACTTTGGGAGCAAATTGACAAGTCGATTTGTCATGCCAAATCGATGTATATGTTATTGTTTGGTTAGGTACACTCGCAACACGTGGACACTAACGTAATTACTTTATTAAATTAAAAAATTAATTACAAAAGCACAATATGAATCAAGATACAATACTTCACTTATCAAGACCAAAACATCCTAACTATGACACTCACACACTTGGATTATTGGAGATAATTTGCAAATGAGGTGGTCTCCTCTATTTATAGCCACCACCTCCTCTAATGAATTCTCTAGAACATATAATATCTTGGGCATTCTAGATACTACAATATCAATGTCATTGAAACAACACGTTATAATAATCAGCCAAGATTTTGTGAAGTTGAAATATTTTACTTTTGAAGCATATGTAAATCTTGAAAGCTTGAATTGGGACAAACCTTTACAAGAAAATGATCAAATTAGAACAAAAAAAAAATCAAATAAAAATATATTCTAGAGCTTTAATGGTACATGATAATTGTGTAATATTCTGTTGGAATTAATTTTTCATTGGAATTTCAGTTGAGCTTTAACGATTCCAACAACAATTTTCTACACGTAGAAATGGCAATTGCAGAAAATATAATTTTACCGAAAAATTGCAAATTTCAAGAAGATTTCTACAACAATAAACTGTTTGGAAAAACTATAGTTAAGAATCATCAAATTCCACAATTGCAGAAAATATAATTTTACCGGAAATTGCAAATTTCAAGAAGATTTCTACAACAATAAACTATTTGGAAAAACTATAGTTAAGAATCATCAAATTCCAACTAAAATTTAAAAAAAAAAAAAATTAATTGCAACCGGANANNNNANA